GACTGCCTTCAGGACTCGGTATGGTCATTACGAGTTCCTTGTTATGTCATTTGGGCTGACCAACGCCCCAACAGTCTTCATGCATTTGATGCACAATGTTCTGGCTATATCTTGACTCATTCATCATTGTCTTTATTGATGACATCCTGGTATATTCCCGGAGTTGGGAAGATCATGAGCAGCACCTGAGGACAGTGCTCCAGACTTTGAGGGAGAAGAAATGATATGCTAAGTTCTCGAAATGTGAGTTTTGGTTGGATTCCGTGGAATTCTTGGGTCACGTGGTATCTAATGAGGGAATAAAGGTGGATCCGAAGAAAGTGGAAGCAGTGCAGAGTTAGCCCAGACCATCCTCAGCTACAGAGATCCGCAGTTTTCTTGGCTTGGCGGGTTATTACCGTCGATTTGTTCAGGGGTATTCATCCATTGCAGCACCTACGACCAGGCTGACCCAGAAGGGTGCTCCGTTCCAGTGGACGGAAGAGTGTGAAAAGAGCTTTCAGAAGCTCAAGACAGCTTTGACTACAACCCCAGTTTTGATATTGCCTACCGGTTCAGGGTCTTATACTGTCTATTGTGATGCCTCGAGGGTTGGCCTTGGAGCGGTATTGATGCAGGACGGCAGGGTGATTCCTACTCGTCCAGACAGTTGAAGGTACATAAGAAGAATTATCCTGTCCATGATCTCGAGTTAGCTGCTATTGTTCACGCCTTGAAGATCTAGCGTCAGTATTTGTACGGTGTGCCTTGTGAGATTTATACTGATCACCGGAGTTTGCAGCATATGTTCAAGCAGAAGGACCTTAATTTGCGTCAGAGGAGATGGCTAGAGCTGCTGAAGGACTATGATATCACTATTTTGTATCAACCGGGCAGGGCCAATGTGGTGGCCGATGCTTTGAACACAATCAACGAGAGCTATGAAATATTAGGCGATGATGTGACACCCACTGCCTCCCCTAGGCGCGAGAGGTCACTTCCCCCATTGCAGCATGACAAAACCAAATGGAAAACTAGCCTCCACGTCCACAAGAGAAGGGATGCACCGACCATGGAAAAGCTCCTCGAAGCGTATCGATACGCTAGCAAGCGTGCTCAAAAAGCCCACTCCATGCATGACTACAGAGACGGCAAAAGCCATATAGTGCAAGGAGCAGAAGAACAAGGCGACTGACCAGACCTTCCAATGCTAGGTATAACTCACAATGTTACTAACAATGCAGGTGATAGTGTCTTCGTCGCTGTTCTAAAGAGGATGGAAGAAATAGAGAATGAAAACAAAGCGCTCAAAAATCAAATGAAAGAACACCAGGAATTAGTCGACAACATACCGGACGCCCCTAGGCTACTACAAAAGAGGGACGCCGGTACATTCGTAGAGTAGCTGTACAGCGAGGAAGCGGCCCCACATGCCATACCAAAGACCTTCAAAATGGCACCGTATCTCGGGATATACGATGGAATTACTGAACTCGAAGATCACGTGACGCATTACGTTACCGCCGTGAAGGGCAACGACCTCACCAAGGAACAAGTGTCGTCTGTTTTTCTAAAGAAATTTGGCGAAACCCTTACAGGAGGGGCAGTAACATAGTAGTTACAGCTACCAGCCCGCTCCATAGAAACCTTCGAAGAAATAGTTGATAAATTTGTAACGGTGCATGTCGGAGAAGAAAGACAAAATAAGAGTAAACGACATAATCGCTATCAAGCAGTCCTTGGGAGGGAGACTGATAAGTGGGGGATTTTGACTACTTATTAGCATCTTTTAGGTTTTGTTTTTGTATAAAAGCAATGAATTATGTTCCCAAAACTGATGAAATGTGCAAAATAGCAAGAATGTTGGAAGTTGAAATCTCGAGATGAAATCCGACTAGAAAAGGAGTAATCTAAACACAAGGCAATAAAAAGGGCACATGAGCTTACAAAGTGCGGACCGCAGAATTTCATCTACAGCCTCAAACAATGAAGGGAATTCCAGCAGACTTCCTAGAAAATAGCGGACCGCATAGGAATTGGGCGGCCGCAAAAGATGAGCTTGATATCAACTTCAGAGAGTATGCAAATTCCCAAGTTCAAAGTCCCTCAGAATTGCGGACTGCATAAGAATTGTGCGGCCGCAGAAGAAGTGCCTTGCAGCCACGGAAGTAAAGATGCGGACCGCAAAAGACTAAGTTGCGGCCGTAGTGCTAAATCTGCGGACCGCAAAAATGTTGCCTCGCGGCTGCAGTTAAGAATTGTGCGGCCGTAGACCTCCACCTCCTAACAAGATGAAGAAACCTGAGGACCGCATATGGAATTGTGGGGCCGCAGAACCTCTTGAAGGGAATTTTTGTCCGAAATTATCAGCGTTGTATAAATAGAAGAGTTTCACGAAATAAAGTCAAGTTTTGAATATTTGAAGTACTGTAGCTGTTTCTCTTTGCTTCTTTAGGAAACTTTAGCTTATTTTGGTGATTTAACATTGGATTTCTCTATTTTAGTCTTTCAATATGAGTTTGATTATCTTTTCTTCTTTGTTTTCTTCTACACCCACTATGAGTAGCTAGATTTTTACTAGGGTTGTGATCCAACCCTAGTATGTAAACATTTTGGGTGATTATTTTAATGCTTGCTTATGAATGGGTATTTATTATTTAGCTTAGTTCATGCTTCAATTGTAGAATTAATGGTTGCAAACATTGATTCATGCCTATTTGACTTAGTCTCTTCTTGAGAAAGAGGGACCCAGTCTAGGTAAACTTAGCTAACAAGGAATTGGGTCAATTGAGAGATTGATTAACCCAATTAAAGGGTTCAACCTAGAGATAGTAACAACCCGACTTGAGCTCTTATCAACCATTTTGGTAGATACCCATTTGATGTTGAGAAAGCAAATTGGGCAAAACCACTCTCTGACCGAGAGGTATTGAGTGGGAAACGTAGTGTTGTGAGCTATAATAAACCTAGTCAATAAAACGAGCATAAAAGTCTTTATCCCATTAGGCAAACACCTAAGTCATGGTCACAACCCTAGGCCTTTTATATATTTGGAAAACACTCAAAAACAATCATCTCTAGTTTTATATCTTTAGATTTGAAATCGTTAGCTTAATTTTTGAAGTAGAAACAAAAACCTATTTATAAAAGAGCAATCTGGATACTTTGCTTGCTTATTCCGAAGATATACTTCTAACTCCCATCTTAGCTCCTTGTGGATTCGCCTCCGACTCTTTGTTGGGTTTTATTATTGCAACCAACCATGTCATACCTCTTCAGAGGCGTGCATTTGGACGTGATCAATTTTTGGCGTCGTTGCCAGGGAGTTAAAAATGGTGTTAGCTATATTTGGGTTTCTGTGTGGATTATCTTCTTTTCCTTCCGTGTTACTAATTTGTCTGAATCAATTGTAGGTACAATTATGGTGGCGAACAACAGCAAACTTGGAAACATGCGTTTGGGGGATGTGGACATTGAGGATGACCAGGTTGAAGATGTTCCTCTTGAACCTCAAGCAAATAGAAGTGGCCGGATGCCTCATGACAATGTCCCAGTTCCACCCCCACCTCCACCAAGAGCGGCTCCACACCGGGTGTTTCCGAATGAAGGGTACTCGAATCAGGGCGGGCAACTTTCAAATCACCAATGTAATGCTCACTTTGCTAGAGCAACGAGGTTTCTTCACCGGGGCTCCAAGTCAAAATGCATACAAACACTTGAAGGGGTTTCTGGACACTTGTTGAGGGAGTAAACAAACAAACGTCTTCGAGGATGCTTTGAGGCTAAGGCTTTTTCCCTTCTCTCTATGAGGGAAAGCCTTAGATTGGTTGGAACGATTGCCAAACCATTCCATTCATACTTGGGATGAGTTGGCAGAGAAATTTATTGCAATGTTCTTCTGTCCCGAGCATATGGATACTCTTAGAGATGAGATTCTAGCATTCAATCAAGAGCCCAATGAGCCGCTACACAAGATATGGGAGTGGTATAGAACAATGGTCAAATAGTGTCCAAATAACGATATGACGGAGAATATGATTCAACGGACTTTCTATCATGGGATTAATACGACAACCCAATTCCCGGCGAATCAACTTGCCGGTGGGAATTTCATGACAATGCGTATGCGGACGCTTGTGAGATTTTGGATGAAATGGAGGACACATCATCAGCATGGCGATCCCGGGTTAATATTCCACAAGGTGATACAAATATGATTCACCTCCATAAAGAGTTGCATGATCTTGGAAAGCCATTGCCGAATTGACCACCACTATGAATCAATTAGCAAAGGCTCAACTTCAACAAGTGCAAAGTCCTAAGCAAGTCAATTTCATGGAGGGAGTAAACATGATGGTGAACAAAAGAAGGACCAAGGACCTGCTAGTGCGAAACCTAGCGGAGAATTATGTGCAAGAAGATAGTGGGTTTGATCAAGATGAATCTTACAATGAACGACATGAGGAGGTGCAATATGTGAACAACTACTAAGGACAAAGAAACAACTCTCAAGTCCCGAATCAACAACAATGGCGACCTCAAAGCAATCAAGGTAATTGGAACTCTAACAACCCAGATAATTGGAGTGGTGGAAACAATCAAGGGAATTGGCATAACAACAAAAATTAAGGAAATTGGAGTGGTGGAAATAGTCAAGGTGATTGGAGTGGCAACAATTAAGGAAATTGGGGAGGTAACAATCAAGGGGGATGGAACAATAATCAAGGCAACCGGAGGGTCGGGTTTTCAAAGGCCCCCGATGTATCAACAACCGAGAAACCCGCCTCCTTATCCTCCCATGGTCCATGTTCTTCCAACAAAAGTGCATTGAGAATATGTTCAAGCAAATGATGGAGAATAATGCCGATCCCGATGCCCAACTTGCCTCACACAATACATCAATCCATAACTTGGAAGTTCGAATGGGGCAAACTTCTCAAGCTCTAAATACTCGTCCTAAGGGGGCACTACCAAGTGACACGGTGGTGGACGCAAAGGGTGGGAACAACACGGGGCATGCCATGGCCGTTACTACAAGATGTGGAAAAGGTGGAAATGCACCCACCTCAAGCCAAAGGCAACTTGTGGATGAAGAGCAAGTAATGCAAGAAAAGGAGATCCCGAACAATGATGAGGAATCTAATGATAAGGTTGAGATTGATATTAATCATAGTGTGGAAGAGACTCAAGAGGAGGTGAACCCATCTAGGGATCACATTAACGACATGCCGGAACCAGTAGTGCAAAAAGTTAAGGCACCGTTGCCTAAGCCTCCACCTCCATACCCACAAAGACTTGCAAAGCAAAATGGTGAAAACCAATTCACGAAGTTTATCCAAATGATGAAAAGTCTCTCAATCAATGGGCCATTAGTTGAAGCCTTGCACCAAACCCGGTTATGCGAAGTTCATGAAGGATCTTGTGACAAAGAAGCGGTCGATGAATTTTGAAACTATCAAAGTCACTCATCAAGTGAGTGCAATTGTGAATTCAATGGCTCCCAAGGGTGCTTTCATGATTCCTTGTACAATTGGAAGTGCCGAGTTTGCAAAATCTCTTTGCGATCATGGGGCAAGTATAACTTTGATGCCCTATTAGATTTTCAAGATATTGGGAATTGGGCAAGCAAGTCCCACCTCTATGAGATTGCAAATGGCCGATAGCACTACGAAGAGACCCTTAGGAGTGATTGAGGATGCTTTGGTTTGTGTTGATAAATTCATTCCCCTAGTGGATTTTGTCATTCTAGATTGTGAGGTTGATTATGAGGTGCCGATTATTCTTGGTAGACCTTTTCTTGTTACGGGGAAGGCTATTTGTGATGTTGAAGCCGGAGAACTTACTTTCTGTGTTAGTGATGAAAAAGTGATTTTCCATGTGTGTAAGTCCATGAGGCAACCCAATAGCAATGAGGTGTGGTTTTTTGTGAACTTGGTGACCGATGTGATTGTGGATGAAAAAAGTGTTGTGATAAATGTTGGAGGCCGTCATGCTCAACTTTGATGATGACGAGATGGATGGCTTTGTGGAATGTGTGAACTCTTTGCAAGGAATGGGGTCGTACACATATGAACCCCGCAAATTGTCCTTGGATATTGAAAATATGACAGCTCCTCCTACAAAGCCTTTAATCGAAGAGCCTCATATCATTGCTTCCATATCTTCGGTATGAATTTCTTGGCCCTTCTTCTACTTTACCGGTTATTCTTTCCTCTTATTTGACTAACGTGCAAGTAGATTCTACATTGGCGATGCTACAAAAGAGGAAGAAAGCTATTGGATGGACATTGGCGGATATTCGGGGGTTAAGACCCGCATTTTGCATGCACAAGATTAACTTGGAGGAAGGTTCCAAACCATCTATTGAACCTCAAAGACTCAATGAAGCCATGCAAGAGGTTGTAAAAAAAGGAAATCATCAAGTGGTTGGATGTCGGGGTTGTCTACCCCATTTCCGATAGTTCATGGACTTCTCTGGTTCAATGTGTCCCAAAGAAGGGGGCATGACGGTGGTCACCAATTACAAGAATGAGTTGATTCCTACAAGAACAGTAACCAGCTGGGGAGTGTGTATGGATTATCGCAAGCTTAACAAAGTCACAAGAAAGGATCATTTTCCACTTCCCTTCCTAGATCATATGCTTGATAGATTGACCGGCCATGCTTTCTATTGTTTCCTTGATAGGTATTCCAGATACAACCAAATTTTTATTTCTCCGGAGGATCAAGAGAAAATAACCTTTACATGTCTCTATGGTACTTTCGCCTTCAAGCTGATGCCATTTGGTTTGTGCAATGCACCGACGACTTTTCAAAGGTGTGTGATGGCTATCTTCACGGACATGGTGGAGGATTACCTTGAAGTAATGGATGACTTCTCGATTGTCGGGAATTCTTTTGATGATTGTCTCGCAAACTTGGATAAAATGTTGACAAGATGTGAAGAAGCAAATTGGTGCTAAATTGGGAGAAATGTCATTTCATGGTGGAGGAAGGCATTGTCCTTGGCCATAAGATCTCAAAGAATGGAATTGAAGTTGACAAGGCAAATATTGAGGTGATTTCTAAGCTTCCACCTCCAACTTCGTGAAGGGCGTGCAGAGTTTCTTTGGCCACGCGGGGTTTTACCGACGTTTCATCAAGGATTTTTCTAAAGTGGTGAACCCGTTGTGCAAGCTTTTAGAGAAAGATGCTAAGTTTCATTCAATGATGATTGCATGAGAGCCTTTGAATTGTTAAAGTTCAAGTTGACAACTACTCCCTTTATCACCGCTCCAAATTGGAGTGTTCCTTTTGAGCTCATATGCGATACAAGTGACGTAGCGGTGGGGGCTGTTTTGGGGCAACGCATCAACAAGATTTTTCATCCGGTCTACTATGCTAGTAAGACCATGAATAGTGCCCAAAGCAACTATACCTTTATGGGAAAAAGAGCTCCTTTTCATTGTGTTTGCTATTGAGAAGTTCCTCCCATACTTGATGGGTGTTAAAGTGATTGTCCACATGGATCATGTGGCACTTGGTTATCTTATGAGCAAGAAATATTTCAAAGCTCGGTTGATAGGATGGGTTCTTTTTTTTCAAGAGTTTGATATTGACATCCAAGATCGAAAAGGGAGTGAAAATCAAGTGGCGGGCCACTTGTCCCGTTCAGAGGAGGAAGGGAGGCTCCATGATGGCCTTGAAATCAATGACTCCTTTCCCGATGAGCAATTTTTGGCTATTTCAATAAAAGAGGTGTTATGGTTCGCGTATCTAGAAAATTTCCTTGTGAGTGGTATCATCCCGGATGAGTTCTCTTCAAACCAAAGGAAGAAGCTTAAACGGGATTGTCAAGACTATTGTTGGGATGAACCGTACCATTTCCGGATTTGTACGGATGGGGTGATTAGAAGATGTGTACTAGAAAAAGAGCAATGTGAAATTCTTGGGGCTTGTAATTCTTCACCATATGGTGGTCACCATAGTGGAGCAAGAACGACGACCAAATTGCAAAGTTGTGGTTTAAATTGGCTCACTCTTCACAAGGATGAAAGTGATCTAGTGAAACGGTGTGATGAATGTCAAAGGGCCAGTGGAATCTAAAAGAAAAATGAAATGCCCCTCACCACCTTTTTGGAAATTGATATTTCGATGTGTGGGGTATTGACTTCATAGGTCCTTTTGCGAGTTCTTGGGGAAACATCTACATCTTGGTCGCGGTTGATTATGTGTCCAAATGGGTTGAGGTTGTTGCTCTACCCAACAATGAGGCGAGAAATGTGGTGGCATTCTTGAAGAAGAATATTTTCACAAGGTTTGGTACTCTGCGGGCTATCATAAGCGATGGGGGGTCACATTTTTGCAGCAAGGCCTTTGACACCTTACTTACCAAGTATGGTGTCGCTCATAAAGTCACGACTCCCTATCATCCACAAGCAAGTGTGCATGTGGAAGTCTCCAACCGGGAGATAAAGATTATTTTGTCGTAAATAATAAATGCTAACCGGACGTATTGGTCCAAGAAACTTGATGATGCTTTATGGGCTTATCGGACGGCTTACAAAACACCTATCAGAATGTGTCCACACCGGTTGGTGTTCAGAAAAGCTTGTCATCTTCTGGTGGAACTTGAGCACAAAGCCATGTGGGCTCTTAAGAAGTTAAGTCTTGATTGGGATGTCGCAGCTAACTTGAGAGTGGCACATTTGAATGAGTTGGATGAGTTCCGGTACCATGCATACACAAGTTCATCCTTATTCAAAGTGAAGATGAAATATCTTCATGACAAGTACATTTGGAACAAAGAGTTCAAAGAGGGCGATCTTGTGTTGTTGTTCAACTCACGGTTGAGGATGTTTCCCGGGAAGTTAAAGTCTAAATGGAGTGGCCCGTTTGAAGTTGTGGGTTTGACACCCTTTGGTGAATTGGACTTAAGAACAAAAACAATGAGGTATTTCGAGTCAGTGGTCACCGGGTGAAGCAGTGTTTGGGAAAAGTTGAAGACGGCCACGTTGTGGCGGTGATTCATTTCAAATGGTGGTAATCTGCGTCATGCCACGACGTTAAATCAGGCGCTTCTTGGGAGGCAACCCATGTTACTTTTTTCTTTTCTTTTCTTCTTTTGTAGTTAGGTGTTATTTTTGGGCTAATTGGATTGGAAATGTGTGCAGGGATGAGTGTGCTTTAAAGGAACTGTGCCAAGAAATTTGGCTAAGTGTGGAAAGAATTGCGGACCGCAATTGTATTGTGCGGATTACAAAAATTATGGTTGCAGCACCAAAAGGTGCTCTGCGGCCGCACAATTACATTGCGGACCGCACAAATTGAAGGTGGAAAATGACAACTCTCTGAAGTTGGTCCGTCAGAAAAATGGCTAATCTGCGGTCCATAAAAAATCTGCGGCCGCACAACAAATTCTACGGACCGCAATAACAAAAGGTCATATGAGCCCCCCAGGTAATAGAGTGCGGACCGCAATAGGAAATCTACAGTCGCACTCACTTCCCCTTCCCTTAGGCAGGAATCAAATAGTATAAATAGAGAGGCTAGGGCACTGTTCCCCTTTTTCCTCTCCGAGCTCACAAATTGCACAAATCTGAAACCTCATCTTAAAATTGTCTGCCTACACACCAAGCCACTGTTGATCACTCATCTCTTGCACTCACTCACATCTGGTATGGTTCATCATATTGTTAATTTATTTTAATTTTTAGATTTTTAGTGAAAATTTAGACCATTCGTCTGTTGAATCTATTTGAACAACCATGTGGGATAAATATGTAGTGGGTAGACTGGAAAAATGCTCTAAGGAGAATGGGTAAATAGATTTTCATGCTTAGATGTTGTTTCCATGTCAAAATTTTGCAAAAATTTCAAGCCCTAGGTAAAAATTGATTGTGTCTCGTAATTGGTTGATATTTGCGGCCGCACAAGAAATTGTGCGGTCTGCAGAAGTTAAAACTAGGGCACTTTAGTAAGGCATGGTTCTGCGGCCGCAGTGAAAAATTTTACGGACCGTAGAAATTCCATTGCAGCCACAGAACAACTCATATCCTATGATAAGAGAGTTTTCAATTTGGACTCTCTTGCGCGGCTGCAAGGCAATTTGTGCGGACAGCAGAAAACTGGTTGCGACCACAAAAAAGCCAATTCTCTATTATTAGAGAGTTGGCAAATTGGTGGTATCTGAGTTGCGGCCGCAATGACAAATGTGCGGACCGCAATCCATTTATGCGGTCGCAATGGAAAATTGTGCGGTCTGCAATGCCTATTCTGCTGCCGCAATAAAAATTCCGCGGACGACAATTCCCTACCCTGCAAGCATATTTTCAATTGTGCTTCACTGTCTTCTCGGGTGTGTTATTGTCTGTTTGAGCTTAACTTGCAACTAACAACTGTCTTTGCTTGGTACAGAAAATGGTTCGATCTCGAGGTAGAGGTGATACTTCAAATGGGAGGGGTGAACCTTCAAGGGGTCGAGGCAAGAGTGCTTTACCCCTCTCCTTACAAAAAATAATCACAAAGAAGACTACATCTGGCAGAGGGAGGGGTGCATAGCCCTCCGAGTCAAGTTCTTATGTCCCATCTAAGGAAGAATTGGAGGGCAACTCGGTTCAAAAGCAGCCGGTTGTCCAATCAAAGCCACCAGGAAGGTATCAACTCCGAGATGAGCCTTCCACATCATAGAGCACTTCTGAAAGTTCGGAAAGTGCTAGTCAGGCTTCTGAGCCATCAACTACACCTATCCCTAAGGCACCGGATGCTACAGTTAATGACATCCCCGATGATGGCAGAGGGATATGCTACAGAGTCCGACCTTGAAAGGTCGAGAAAGAAAGAGGTATGGGAGGATCACTTTATCAGTTTGGCTGCGGTAGACATGTGATTTTTGACCCTCCCCAAGATTTTATATATTTTATCATGTAAATATTTAGTTTAGGCCTAATATAGTTATTTCAACTAATTTTGACTCTTTTACTTTATTTTATCACAAAAAATGAAATTACAAAAAATAATTTCATTAATGTTTTGTAGTCATTTTTAATCTTGAAAAAAAATACCAAAAATAGGTTTGTTTTAACAGTTAGTGATTATTTTAATAGTTATTTTATTTAAGTAGGATTAATTAGTAAATAAGGTAGTATTTCAGCCTTGTTCAAAGAGAAAGAATACAATTTGGGCTCAAATAACCCATTTTCTAGGCCTAATTCTCGGATCTAGCCCAAATAACCTTAGCCCATAATTCCTAGGACCATACCCCTTAACCTAAAAAACCCTACAAAAACTAACCTAGAGCTAACACCTAAGACCCTAAAGACAAAAGCATCCCCCATTACACCCAAAAAAGAACCCCACCCCCAGCGTTGCATCATCTTCATAAGCCGCAAGACTTAGACCTAGAGAACTTTAACGCCTGGATCTAGACAGAAGAGCCGAGCTTCATCACCTTCAGCCATTTCCATGAAAAAAACCAAGCTCCTTCATCTTCCCTGAACGAAAAATGAACAGACACATTAGACCTTCCATAGAATGAAGCTGAGTTTCTTCATCACCTTTCAGCCGTTTTCCATGAGCACACCCTAAGGCTAAGCTTCCTTCTTCTTGGACAAGAAAAGAAAAAAAACCTAACGCCTAAAAAGATCCAGCCATTTCTGATCAAAACTTTCAGCAATATGGACTTAAGCTCAGCGACAGAGTACACACACACGATCTAACTCCCCATTTCCTGTCCGTTGGGCTCGCCGGAAAACGAGCCACACCAGCCAACGATCTTCAATCGCCAGCTCTCACCCTTTCCATGGCTGCCGCTGCTGGAGGTGATTATCGGCGATGGCCATGACTGTCACTCCTGTGCCTAACTATTGTTCCTGTCATTTCTTTCACCTCTATTGTCATTGTTTCACCGGAGTCGCTCCATCGACGTCGAACGAACAGAAAATCGGCGATAATCGTCAAAACCGCTGAATCTGTTTCTGCTGAGTTGTATCGAAATTAACATGTTGATGTCGTCTGAGGTCGTGATTCGAGGTGCCGGTTCGAGGTCCGTTGTTCAACTTTATCGTGGTTCCGACGAGTTTCGAGGTTTGGATCGTAGTTTCGTCGAGGTTTCCATTTTGGTCTGGTGATTAATTCCGTTTTTTTTTTGTGGGAAGATTCAATGTAAGATTCACTTTCTTTCATTTTGGTTTTGTTCTGATTACATGTTGTTCACTATGTGTTTTCTTTCTTCAGTAACCTATGTGTAGAGTAGTGTTTTTCTTCGATTATTTCATTTGATTTAGCTGTAGAATTTCTCTATTAGAAGGTGTATTAATTGTATATTTTGTGAAAGTAGGAAGTTTTCCTAACTCTGTTGAATAGCGTGGATGTAAAGTTAGTCCTAAACCATTGGATAAATTAATTTATGATCTGTTAGTATGCTTTTAGACCCGCGTTTAATATATTATTGTGATTGTGTACACGTTCGCATGACATAATTACGATTCTAAAAATCAATTCGTAGTATGCGTCCGCGCAACTTCGACCAAACTTTCTCAATAATAATAAAATTGTTATTAATATAGTCCGCTTTAATTGAATGTAGTTCTTTTAGACCGAGGTGTGCCATCCATAATTGAATCCCTATGGCCCTCATATTAATTTTGTAACTTAGCTATTAAAAAAGAATATTCGTAGACAAGCCTTTAGGCGCGACTTAATCTACTATTGTGACTGTGTACACGTTCGCGTGACATAATTACGATTTTAAAAAACAAAATCGGAGTATGCGTTCGCGCAACTTCAACTAAACCTTTTTAATAATATTAATAAAGCGTTACTAATTGTGGACACATTCGCGTGACATGATGTTTGACGCGCCAAACAAATGGGTACACGTACGCGTGACATGTTTTAAGTTAATTTCTTAATTAAAAGAGGTGAAAGCACATAGGTTCCAAAACGAGTAGTTAAACAATTTGATTAAGCCAAGTATGATCAAAGTGACCGTGCTAAAACCAGGGAACTCGGGAGTGCCTAACAGCTTCTCCCGGGTTAACACAATTCCTTACCCGGATTTCTGTGTTTCGCAGACGTTAAACAAGAGTCAAATCTCCTCGATTCGGGATTCTAATCCGGTGACTTGGGACACGATAAACTATCCCAAGTGGCGACTCTGATCTTAAATAATAATCCCGTTTCGATTGTCACTTAAATTGAAAAAACTCCCTTATACCCCTTCTCGGGGTAGTAAAAAAGGAGGTGTGACAGCTGCTTTCTCTAGCTTCCATGAGTGGTGGCCAGTGAGGTCGCTCACTCTTGAGCGACAACTTCAATTGAAAGATCTAGAAAAGTACAACCATGTAGTGTTGAGGCAGTTTAGAGAACCCAAAGGGTGGTGTGGTTTACCTAGAGCGTGATGGATGCTAAGGAGTACGTTGTCCAGGAATTCTACGCGAATGTGGCGCACATGAAAAAGGGGACAAAAGTGAGAAACCTCAAGGTGCGATTTGACCAGCACACATTGAACACATACTTGGGGTTTGATGATGTCGAACCCATAGAGTACTTATTGATGTATGCACTTGGGGAGGAAGCTCGTCCCTGGTTAGCAGAGATTCTTGCAGCTCCTGGGCCACCACCACCATGGATCATAGCAGGGGTTCATATTCGGAGGAACACTCTAAACTTTGAGGCGAAGAGGTGGCAGACCTTTGTCTGCAGCAGACTAGACCCGTGCCAGAATGAGACCTATCTTTCAATCCCGTTGGGCAGTGCTAGTTTCTTCTATCATGGGCAGGTACCCGATCAATGTGGGCGTTGTGGTCTCGGCCAAGATCTCTGTGATCGCTAAGCAAGCAGACTTTTCTTACCCGTACCCCAACACTATTACAGAGTATCTCACGGATGCGGGGGTAGAGCCGAGGGATTACGATACGAAAATGCGGCCGAAGAAGCCATTCTCATGGTACTCTCTGCTGGATACTACAAACCCAAAGAAGAAGGTTCAACCTCCTACCACTACGGGACAGTCTGATGAGCCAGCTATGGTAGTTGCAGAGGCAGTTGGTGGTCCATCCACTTCGGCTGAGCCTTCCTCCAGTGCCGCAGCAATGCCTCCACCACCATCTTTAGTTCCCACTGCATTTCCTGCCACATGTTCCATGCCTACTACTCCGTTTTTTGTGCTATGAGTCTCCCAGACACTGGCGAGCCTCAACAACTGGATGCAGATAGCCACTGCAAAGCCATATGACATATCCAGCACTGTTGCAACACAGTAATCCATTCCGGCACCTCAAGTTCCTCCGACAGTGGAAGATACATTGAAGAAGCTCCTGGAGAACTAGACTACTATCACGAACACTCTGGTACAACATGGGTTAGTGATTGAGGAGCTGGGAAAAGAAGTAAAGAATATGAGAAAGTCCCAGGCTTCCAAGAAGTCAGTTGACAAGCTCCGGAGACAGGTGACCAAGATTGCAGCAGCCAGAGATCTCCCATTTGAGATGCTGATATTGATCCAGCTCTTACAGCACCAGCAATACCATTAACTTCATTGGCACCAGCTGGCCAGTATGAGGAGCCAGATCTGGCTGCCGACACGGCCGAGGCAGTGCGTCAGATGTTCACCAACCTAGTCGCTCCCAGAGTCGAGAATGATGAGATCCAGTTGGAGAAGACTGAGGGCGGTGACAATGCTGTGGACACAGAGATGTACAAGGAGCCATAGGAGTCTTCTTCACTCTTTCCCTTCCTTTACTCTTATTTTGTAAGCATTGAGGACAATGTTTATTTTTATTTGGGGGTGGAGTTTATTTGATCTTATTTGCTGATTCTGAGACATTTGGCTTGTACTTAACTTGATATTATTTTCTTTTTCTTTCTCATTATGTATATATTCTCTCTCTTCTCTCATTATGTATATATCTTCTCTTCCTCAGTCATTATGTATATTCGTTATGCTTTTAATAGTTTTTGCTTTTTAGCCTATTTATGTTTGTTTTCTTATTAGTTAGTGTTTAATTTAGTAGCTTCTTTTTGAATTAGTAGCTTCTTTTGATGTTTTAGTATATAATAAGCCTTCTATTTTCTTAATGCCACGGTTCTTTCCAAAGGTAGTTTTTTGTGTGAATCGAGTGAATATTCCCAATGATGGATGGCGTGACAACCTTCTTAAGGGAATGAATCCATTTTGTGTTTAGATAATAGTAGTAGTAGTAATAACTAAAAAGACATGATTAATTCAAACTCGAAGAGTTAAACATGCTTCATTTTACCAACACACTTAACTATATGCTTATGGTTAGAGACAAGGTTTCTAAAAGGAAATATCTCTAGTTAGTGACTTTGTGACTCTTGTGTTGACTTTGATACCATCGAGTGGTCTAATTTGACCATAGTGATCTTCAATCTTGAATGTGGTCGTTGTGGGACCTCGACTCTATCCTCTTTAACAATCTTGTTGCATGAGGGGTGAGATGCTTTTTTGCTAGTCCAAGTACCCATGCGGAAGGTCTAGAACTTTCTCTGAATGTGTTTTAAGGAGAAATTGTAAGTTTTGCTAGCTCGAAAAGTGA